GCTAGGTTCAGGCTTTGGTGGGGGGTAGGGTGGGGGGGTTACTGAGAAGGCTGGGGGGTCTTTGGGGTGGGGCAGAGGAAGCCTCCAGGTCAGAGATACATACATGACATCCTCAGACACACCGCACAGACACACCACACCTGCATCTGTGCCTTCACAGGTACACACCGCGTCCCCAGGCATCTGCCCACGCCAACTCCTGCTGAAGAGCCTCTGCTCTGTGGGGCTGGCCCCTCTGTTCCCACCCAGCACACCCACCATCAGCTGGGACAAGACCTGGCAGCTGAGCCCAACCCTAGGCTTCAGAGAGTGGACGGGACGCTCAGTTCCAGCCCAGCCTCCTGCAGGCTCTGGACTCCAGCCCAGAGGCCCTGGGTCAGGATGAGGGGCTGGGCCCCGAGCCTGCAGGAGGTGTGTCTGTAGGAGGGGGTGAGCTGGGCCTCTGCTCCCTGTGTGGCCCCGAGCACCTCTCCCCGCGGCCCTCCCCTCCCTGCCCCACACCTCTCAGTTCAGGGCTGAGGTTGGAGCTTGGGATCCCCAGACTCCTTCAGGAACCCCCAAATTGTCTGTTCAAACCCCAGCATTTACAGCTGGGCCTTGGCAGCTCCAGACACTGCGGATAAGCGTGAGGGTGAGGCCCTGGGAGCCCTGGGGATGGGGTGTGTTGGGGGTGGGACTGGGCAGCTAACAAGCTGGCCCCTTGGGACTTTCTCCTGATGTGTAGCTCAGTTTGGCTCAGGGACCTGCTCCTGTGGGTCCCAGACCTGATCCCTTTTCCTTGGGGTCCTGCCAACAGCCCCCTGAATTAACTCTGCTTAGAGCTGACCACACGGTCTCCTTGCTGACTGCCCCACCTCCAGCAGGATGGCTGTAGCTCCTGAGCCAGCACAGTGCGTCCCCTGCCCACCACTCTGGCTCGCCTCTCCCGCACCTCCCTGCCCTTTCCCGACAGGAGGAGAACTAGGTGTTTTTAGAATGCAGTGCTCTTCCTCTCCAGGCTTTTTGCACAGGCTGTTTCCTCTGGATGACCCCAGAGCCCAGAGACCCCAGCACAAATTTGTTTTCAATCGCACACTAGCTCTGGTGAATTGGTGCTATCTACTTCAAAGATCGTATTAAGGATTCGGGGGCTGAATTCAAGTTCAGTGGGAGTGAACACTGTGGTGGATTAGCGATGTCTACCCTGGGTATGGGAATGGGGGAGGGGCCACCTCTGCCTGAATGCCCTTCCTGGCTGTGTCCCTTGGGTGAATGCTCTACTTCTTTTTAAGCCCCAGGCACCTCCCCCATGAGCTCTTCTGATCGACTCCTGCCCCTAGCACAGCCTGTGCCTCCTGGCCCAAGTGCGTCTGACCAGGCAGGTTCTGGGTCTGTCTCCACTTCATCCAGCATCCAGCTGCATGAACTCAAGGCCCTGGCCCCTGATGGTCAGGTGTTCCCATGGCTGCCTGTCAGCCTGCCTCAGTCTCCAGTTCTGGTCTTGTCACTGTTTCCCTCTTCACTCACAGGATTCAAAACAAATCCGAATAATTTGCAGACAGCGCCTTGGGTGGTCACAGTGAGTGCAGTAATTGGTATAACTCAGTAAAGCTCCTCCTTGATCCCAAATAGCCTCTCTGCTGACCCATCATATTGTCAGACACACCACCATTAGGATATTGATCCTTTGAGGACAGCATGATTATCCTTATTATCGGATCCCGATGAACACACATCTGCCACTGTGCAGGGGACCCTATCTTACAGTCTAGGGCTGGCAACACAGAGCTCATAGGTGGACACACCCATTCCCGTACCCATGGCAGACATCACTAATCCATCAAGGTGATCATTCCCACTGAACTTGAACTCAGCCCTTGAATCCTCAATACAAACTTTGAAGTCGATACTACCAATTCACCAGAGCTAATTTACGATTTAAAACAAATTTGTGCTGGGGTCTCTGGGCTCCAGGGTCATCCAGTCTATGCCCCTGTCTCCTAATGGGATAGCTCCACGTTTCAAGGAGAAAACACCTCCCCTACAGAGCCTTTTCTAGCCTCCCCTGGGCTTCCTGACTTTGACTGGGGCTCTGAGGCAGCCAGTGAGGGCAACAGAATGAACCCCACCAACCTGCTTGTTTGAACTTGCTCAGCTGTTCATGAGCTGTGTGGCCTTAGGCTCATCCCTTGCCCTCTCTGAGCCCCAGCTTCTTCATCAATCATAGCTGCCTCCCTCGTCATGAGGGAGATTGCGGGTGTGAAGCCCAGCACACAGTAGGTATTCAGTCAAGGTGTGGGTATCTTGACCCTCGTCGACGTATCCCGTCCAGCTTAGTGGTCGTGGGCTTGACTGGCCAACTGGTCGACTCACACCTGACCTCATCTCCTGGTTCTGCCCTGGGCCCACCTCCTCCTCCCCACTGTTTCTCTCCAGAAGGAAATCTCATTCACTGCCTGCCTGGCCTGGCCTGGCCCCATGGGCCCTGCTTCCTCCTCCTCGTCCTAATATCTGCACCTGCTAGGATATAACTGTGATGCTGTGGCCCCAGACAATCTGGAGGTCCTCCAGTGAATTTAGGGAGCATCGGGTCCATGCCTGCCCTAGAGATGTGAGAAGACTGAGATGCTGGACCTAAGACCTCGGTCTCCTCCTCTTCCTCCAGGAAGCCTTCTATGACTTCTCCACCCAACGTCAGCTTGGACCTGGGTTAGGATGAGCTTTTCGGTATCTGTCCATCCAGAAGCTAAATTCCTCAGGACAGGACCTGTAGCCTAGAACGTTCCTTCACCAGGGTCAGTGGGCTCCTGACTTATCCTAGTACCTGCTTCTATGGCTTGAACTGTCATGTCCAGTCCTCCTTGACTTGTCTTCTCTCTGAGCTTGATTATGGAGTGTGGTGGGAGCTGTGGGGCCAGAAGGAGCTGGCCTCACTCATATCCCGTTTCCACCTCATACGTGACGTTGGATTGGCCACTCAGCCTCTCTCCACCTCTGTGGTCCCATCTGTCAAATGGGAATTCTTTTAGTAGCTTCAAGGCTATGAGGGGGTGCAGAGAAATGATGGGTTCTGCGGGCATGGGTCCATATGAGCGAGGGGCCCAAGGTTTTTCCTAAGCTGGGGGCCCCTGTGTCCACTTTGCATCCCTGAGGCAGCAGCAGAGCGGTGAGTCATCCAACTTTGGGACAGAATAAACGTGGCCCCCTCTGGCTTCCTGCCCCCATGTCCGGCCCTTGTTCAGCAGCACAATTGCTCAGGTCCAGACTGCAGCGCGGGCAGCTTAACCCATTCGAGGCCAGTGGACGCTTCCCCTGTCCCCTCACCACTGTAAGCCGGAATCGGCAGGGCTGCCTGAGAGGCTCAGCAGCAGCCAGGCCCCTGGAGGTCGTCTGCTGCCTTCCAGGCTGGGGCCCACAGATGGCTGGACTCAGGCCAGATGGGAGAGGCCCGCTGCTCCCCATCACCTCGAGATGAACCATAGCTCCTGGTCCTGGCCCTTCAGTGTCATAGCCGTCTTGCCACTCCCTGCTCTAAAAACCCTCTGGCCACACTGGCCTCCCCAGGTCTTCTGAGCTGCCTAGGTTCCCTGCGTCTCCCAGAATGCCCTTCATCTTCCATAGGATCCTATCTGCCCACCACTCATGGCAGAAATGTCCTTGCCGGGGGTGGGGAAACAAGCACAGTACTTAGTGCAAGTAGCTCCCCAGGGTGCTTGCCGGAGGAAGAGCTGAGTTGACACTCTCACTTTCACTCCTTCCCTGTCGCCTGCTGGGGACCTACCGACCTCAGGGATCAAAACATTTATGATATCCACAGCCAAGGTCAGCTCTGGGTGGCAGGTAAGTTCAGCCGTGATTTCTTGAAAATACCCTGCAATGAGCCACTCCTGGTGCTATGCATTTAAATGGACTCCTGAAGAGACAGTCTCCTCCATTTTATAGATGAGAAAACTGAGACATGGAGAAACGATGTGATGTCAGAAAGATGGCTTTCGGGTACAGGGTCCTGGTTCGAATCCCTACCCTGGCTTTTCTCCAAATCTCAGTTTCCTTCACTGAGAAATGGAGAAAGGCTGGATCTAACTCATGGGGTGGTTGTGGTTGTAAAATAAGGAGCTGGGTTGTGCATTGCCTTTAGTTTTCACAAGGAATTGTAGAAAGACTCGCTGTCTCCATTGTTCAGACAAGCAAACTGAGGCTTGATAGCGTGGAGTCATTTTCCCAAAGTCACACGGGAAGTGAGTGGTAGAGCTGGGCTCTGCACCCAGGACCACTGTCTCCAGGCTGAGCTCTGGAGACTTCCTGCCTTCAAGTCCTTTGCGGGGACTTCCCTAAAATGGGAGGGCCTCAGGGCCCCAACCTTCAGGTATCTGGGTGTCGGTGTCGGGGGAGAAAGGGTGAGTCACCTTCCTGACTGCAGTTCCCGCAGTTCAGAGTGGCCCCTGCAGCGTCTGGGGCGGGAAGGGAAGGTCTTCCATAAGCAGGGCCTCAGTTTGCTTACTCGGAAATGGGGACACCGGAAGGGCTGAGGCTCAGAGCTCCCCTTCTAGGCGTCTTCTCCCAGTCCCAGCACGGAGCTCTGGGGGGAGGAGATGATGACAGGCCATGGTGAATCTTCTACCTTGGGGGAAGGGGCACCAAGGGGGAGCCTAGGCCTGAGTGCCAGTCTTCTGCCCCTGGTGTGCTGGCCGATTTGGGCAGAATCCTGCCCTCTCTGAGCCTGGCACCGCTGGAAGCCAGTGGGCCCTTGAGTCACATCGAATTGGAGAGTCTACCTGTGAGAGTGCCGAGCCCTTATCCCCTCTCAGCCCTGAGAAAGCCCGTTTGTGCCCAGGGCACCACCACTGGGGGCGCTTCTCAGCCCTGCTCTGAGCCAGGAGGAGACCCTGAGTACCCCGAGGACTGGCTCTTTCCTGGGACCCTGACAGCGACCATTCTACAGATGGGGAAGGCGAGGACCCCACTGTCTTGGGTACATGGTGATGAGTCTGAGTAGACTGGGGTTGGGAGCGCTCACTCACCGTGCCGTGGGCTGAGCGGTGTCGCTGTTCCGTCAGACTGTCCGTCCGTCCGGGGGCTGAGTGCTATGGAGTTCTGTGGAGCTTGGCGGAGGGCCTCTCGAGGGGAACCACACCCGGCAGCAAGGGAGGCGGGCTGCCTCCCCTTCAGGTTTTCCAGCTGGCCCTGGCCCACGCCCCCCTGGGATGGTTTCCTGTTATTGTTTCTCTGTGAGGGCTGGGCTGGCTGTCGATAGGCAGGCCCTGTGGTGGGCTGCTGCCTCGGCCCAGCCAGGCGGTCCCCACAGAGGCCTAGCCCTGGACCCACCTGGGAGGCTCATTTCGGACCCCAACTCCAGGCCTCAAATCTGGGGCCCTAAGGCCAGTACCTGCCAAGGGCCTTAGTTCACCCTCCTTGTAACCCCAAAGGCAGGTGTCATCACCCCCGTTTTATAGCTCAGGACACTGAGACTCAGTAAGTTGAAGGCAGTTCTCTAGCCAGCTGGGGTGTAGTGGAGTCAGAAATCCAGCCTGGGTCAGCCTGGGCCCAGAGCCAGATTTTCTCAGGGGACCCCATGACATGGAAAGGAGCAGATTTTGCAGGGGATGGGGAGGCTTCAGGAGCTTTGGAGGGGAGGTGGGCAGGAGAATGGGAACAGCCGCTTTTGGCTCTGGAGGGCCGGATAGGGGCCAGCTTGGGTTTGTGGGGGCTGGTTGAGTTTAGGAATACCAGGTGGCGTCAAGTGCCCTGGTTCTGCTTCTGATGTGACCGTGGACCAGTCGTGCCCCCTTGAGCCTTAGTTTCCTCATCTGTAAAATGGGGATAAGCAGAGCCTCAACCCCATAGGGCTGTTGAGATAAACAAGAGTCAAAAAGCAGCTTGGAAGATGGGAAGCTGAGGCAGAGCTCAGGGAACCAAATCGCTGGGGCAGAGAGGAGGCGGGGCTCAGAGTCTGTTAATCATGAAGGTCACGTGAGCGTTTACGAACTGCAGTTGCTGGGGCCTCACCCCAGGCCAGTGGACTTGGAATCTCCCAGGACGGGCAGTGGGAATCTGTCCTTTGTTTTTCCATGGATGAATGAGTGGTTGGGAAGTCCCGGATTGGGCTTTGCCCAGGGGCATTCAGTAAATCAGTGACAGTAGTATGGAGATGAGCCCGGAGGGAAGAGTATGTTTTGGGAGAGGGAGATCAAGATTTCTCTGTTTCAGGCATGTTGAGTTTGAGATGGCCCTCGGATACCCAGGTGTCACGGTCAGTTACAGGAGATAAGGGTGGATACAGGTGGCCTGGAGATGAAGCGTGGAAGCGGGGAGCTTAGTTATGGCTGGACCTGAGGCCGTGGAGGTGGATGCGCTTACAGGGAGGGAGGCCTGGAGCTGCTGCGATGTGTAGTTCCTTTAGCGAAGGGAGCCCAGCCAGGCAGGAGGGAAGCCAGGGCTGGGAGCGGGTGGAGCGAGGATGGAGATGTCAGCTGTGGCAGCCTGGGGAAGGTGAGAGTGGATTTGGAAGACGGAGGTCATCATGATTGTGACCAGAGCAGGTTAAATGGAAAAGAGCAGGCAAGACACGTTAGAGGGGGCTCGCGAAGGGCGGGGAGGAAGTGGAGACTTGCGTGGTGACTGCCCCTTCCCCAGGACTTGCAGTGAATGGGGACAGAGAAACGGGAGGTTTTTTGTGTTATTCAAAAAGCTATGGTGGCGTGTTTGTGAGCCAAGGGGACATCCAGCAGTTGGGGAAGCCAGGTGATGCTGAAGCAAGACGAGTGACCGTCGTGAGGTGGACTTCTGAGCTGGATGCAGCACATTCGATCAGTGTTTGTGCAATGAGCAAACAAAGGCTCAGCGTTTCCTTCTCCAACAGGATTTACTCTGCCTTCTCCTGAGGGTGTGTGTGTGTGGGGGGGTGGGGGGTCAGGCAGGGAAGGTAGTGTGACCACAGAGGAGGCAGGCCAGGCCAGTGCTCTGTCCCTGGTGCCCGGGCCTCTCACCTCTGCCTGTGCTGGCGGACTGCCCTCGTGTTGTATGGTGTATGTGCCCACTGGGACGGGGAGGGGTGGGGACATCACTTCCTGCTGGGTCTCAGACTCCGTGCTGGTGGCATGTCTTGATGGAGCGTGTCCTGGCACCATCTGCCAATTTTCTTTGTGCTCTCAATCTGTGAGGAAGTTGACTGCCCTGAATCCCGCTGTTCCTTTGGTCTGTAAACAAGGAATGGCCATCGGGCATGTACCCCTGGGGTGGGGGTGGGTCACCATGCGGAGGTAGTCCAGACCCTGGGAGGGAGGCTAGTGCCCCTGAGGATCTCATGCTGAAGTCCTGCTACCGCGCAGCTCCTGCTGGAGGCAAAGGAGGTAACGGGAGGGCACAAGGCCAGGAAATGCCATCAGGAGCAAAGGAGGCAGCCTGTAGGCTGGCAGGAAATGGGATGGTGTGTGACATCTGATTAGCTGCTGGAGGAGGAAGCAACAAAGGGATGGTGGGGGGCTGGGGAACGCACCAAGAAGGCCTACGGACACCCACGCAGCCTCTGCCAGGACTAAAGCTGCCCAGGGAGGGGGCCCTGGGACGCCCTGCTTGGAGAGACCTGGGCTTAAGGGGTTGGCATACCCGCTTCTGGCCCATCTCTGGCTGTGTGACCTGGGGCTTTCGACTTGCCTCTCTGAACCTTTTTCCACACCTGTGAAGTGGGTTACGGGTTCAGACTTTGCAGGGCTGTCTGGAGCGTCAAATGAGACAATGAAAATAAAGAATGGTGGGGCCGGCCGAGTGGCTCAGTTGGTTAAGAGCTCGCTCAAGAGTTTGAGCTCTGAGCAACAGCGGTTCGAGGCCAGCCCGAGCTGAGCAGCCGCTGAGCTGCCAACAGGTAGCAGGATGGCTCAGCTTAAAAAAAAAAAAAGAAAAGAAAATAAATAATGGTGGAATAGCAAGCATTTATTGAGCGGGTATTTCTGCAAGGGTGGTGCTCAGGCTACCTGCCTCAGAATCACATGGGGAGTGTGTGTTGAAATGCAGATTCCTGGGCCCCTCCCCAGGCTGATGGAGTCAGAATGGCTGGCAGTGGACCCCCGAGACCTAATGTTTGTAGCTCCCAGGTGACATGGTTGTGCGCTCAGAGTTGAGGACAGCGGCCTGTGTGTGCCGGCCGCGCACTGAGCTCTCTCCAGGGACTCCTCTTTCAGTCTCCAGACAACCCTGGGGGACAGCATGATTGTCATCCCCATTATACAGATGGGGAAACAGAGACTGGACAGTCAGTGCTCCCCACTCTCAGAGCTGGTAGTGGTGGAATGGGAATTCTGAACCAGGCCTCCGACTCCATAGGCTACCTCCTCACCCACCAAGCTCTCCAGTCCCTCTGTATCTGGAACACAGTAGAGGCTCATTAAACAAGAGTTCTCGTTCCTTCTTTCCCATGGAGGCCCAAGGATGGGGCAGGGAAGCCAGGCCTCTGGCTTTAGCAGAGGCAGTCAAGGCGAAGCCACGAGGCACCCACCCCAGGGCCTTTGCCTGTGCTCTCTTCCACCCAGTGGGCTGCCTTCTCTCTGCCTTGTCGCCTGCTTGCAGAGCCCCCATCAGCCTTCTCCACCCAGACCGTGCCTCCTCTGCTCCACTCCCTCCTCGCACTTTGCCAGGCCCCCTTCACAGCCCATCTCTCCGCCCTCCACATGGGTTGTGTCTCCTTTGTGTGTCTGTTCCTTGGGGGCACTGGGCACAGGATGAGTGCTCCATGAATGCTGACTTGAAACCCTGGGCTCCTTAGAGCAGCAGTCAGTGTGAACTGTGGGCCAGGTCCGTGGCTTCTGGAGGGACAGCTGGGTGTGTGGGGCTCTTCCCCTGCACTGCGTGGTCCTGCGCCCGTATGCAAAGCCCTCGCAGAGAGCTGTGGCCATGGGATTCTCGCCCGAAAGGGATTCTCTCAGTAGCTTGATTTGGTTGCTGCAGTATTTTTCATTTTCTTCCTCTTCTCTCCAGATTACTGCTCTAGAAGTCCTCGGCCATCCAGGAGCATGGGCACCTGAGGGTCAGACTTTCCCTGGGGGGGAGGGGGGGAGGGGACAGAAGGGTGGGTCGGGCCCACAGGCTGCCCGCTGGGCTCCTGCCTGCTGGGAGAGAGCAGCAAGGCTTGTGAGCTGTGAGCGCAGAGGGCCTGGGGGCCAGCCTGCTGAGTTATTGCCCGGCAGGATTTGGGGACGCTCCCTGGCTGGGAGCGGGGTGGACACAGCCTTCATGGGAAAGAGAACTGGGGTCAGTGTAGGGTGGGCTGTAGGGGCTCGGGAGGGAGGAAGAGCGGAAGGAGCAGCTGGGGAGGGGTCTCGACCGCAGCTGTGGTTCCACCGGAACAGCGAGAGCTCCTGAGAGCAGGGCCGGGGTTGGGCTCACCTTTGGGTGCTCAGAACTGAGCTCAGGGTGGCACAGAGCAGGTCATTGGACAAATGAAGGCATGAATGAGTGAATGGGTGGATGAGCCGATGGCTTGTTGAGGCCGACTGAAGGTGTGGGGCTGGGTATATACCTGTGTTCTGTGGTGTGCTCTCGTGCCCAGTGGGTCCTTTTCTCAAAGGCTTCAGGGAGGCACTGCATCAATCAATAAATCAATCAGTCAATCAGTCAACCTCTCAGGCCTGCTGGGTGCCCAGCTCTGTGCCAGGCTGGGGTTGGGGACCCAGAGAAGTGAAAGAGACTGTCCCTTGATAAACTCCGAGACTGGGGTGGAGTTAATTATAGTCACCAACACTACCATGAACTGAGCTCTGTGACCATGGAAGGGGGGACATGGATCTGCCCATTTTCCAGCATTAAGTAACTAGCCCAGCGTGGCACTGCCCAGCTCAAACCAGAGCTCATGTGCGTATGCAGCGCTTGCGGAACCCTAGGTCCACTCTTAGGCTGAGCTGCCTTAGGTTAGCTTCCTGCCTCTGAGCCTGTGCCCATGCTGTGCTTCACCCAGGATGCTCTTCCCTTTCTACCTCTGCCAGCCCAAACCCCCTTGACCTTCAGTGCCCAGCTCAAACGCACCACCCCTCCATCTAGCCTTCCTGGAGTCCCATTTGGAAAGCATCTTGCCCTCAGGAAGCTTCCACCCCCTCTGCACCCGACTTGCTTGGTTTCAGAGCTTATCAGGCCCCTCCCCTATTTGTTTATGTAATGATTCCTGAGAGGTGTAA